GATTTTGAGGACGTAGAAGGATTACCCCACCTTCGAACCTCGTTAAAGTTTGCGTGTCTCTCTCTTTTATCTTTACTCATACTTGCAATTATATTAACTGTGAAAACTAACTCATCCATATTGATTACTGCTCAATTACCCACCAACTTCCGCACACAATCTAAGGTTCACAAGAACTCTAGATTAACCACTCATTTTCACGTTTTCAAAAGAAACGAAAAAGTTTTTAAATTGTTACAAAGTCTATTCACCCCCCCCCCTCTAGACTTTGTATCTCACCACTTTGGGCCACCAATTGGTATCGGAGCATACTTCTCACTATCTACATTTAGATTAACGAGAAGCGATCATAATGGTAAACAATATGGATCACGGTTTGCCCAAGTTCTCTCTTCTAGGTTATGATGATTGGAAGATCATGATGGAAGCACACCTCTATGCTCTACATGATTGCATGTGGATGGTGCTTGAAGATGGACCCTTAAAGATTCAAATGGAGAATCCTGAGAGGAATCCAACCAATCCTGATGTAGTCCAGTACATTCCAAAGCCCAAGGAGAAATGGGATGATAGAGATTGCAAAAAGCACAATCTGGACAACGTCGCAAAAGCAGCCATCTTCAAGACACTTGATCCCATTACTTTTTCCAAAATTAAGCATCTCAAGACTGCCATGGAGATATGGCAAGGTCTTGGGAAGCTGTGTGAGGGATCAGAGGATCTGAGAAAGCAGAAGATGGAGGTCCTGCTTGAAAAGTTCAAAAGCTTCAAAATGCTTCCCGGAGAATCATTTGATATGTTGGATGAAAGATTCCACAAAATCTTAAATCATCTTGCATCACTTAACCACGTTCTTTCTCCCAAAGAAAAGATTGTAAGGTTACTGAGGTCTCTTCCAACTGAGTGGTACACCAAAGCCACAGCCATGGAAGAAGGAAGAAATCAGGAGAACTACACTGTCCAAGGTCTCCTTGATGAGCTGAAGAAGAAGAAGGAAGAACAAGTCACTCCATTTCCCACGGCACTGATGACAACTCCCAGAGTCCCAACAAGCGAAGGGACATGCCCAAGAAACTGTGACACTCCTTCCTCCAGCCAGCCACTAAGCTCAAAAATGGAGAACTACGATGAGGAATTTGCCATGATGGTCAAGCAATTCCGGAAGTTCAAGAAGTTCTTCAAGAAAGCTGACTCAGTCAGAAGGCCGTCCACGGGAAAGCCATAGGTAAGTGACTCACCTCCTGAATCTTATTTGTGTTATAACTGCAGGAAGCCTGGCCACTGGAAGTCAGCATGCTCGTACCCAAAAGTGGAGAAGTACGGAGAAAGAGAAAGAAACGAGAAGAAGAAGAAGGCAATGGTAGCAGCTAAAAGTGACGAGTCATCCAGTTCAAGCTCGGATGAAGAAGCCCTGGTCTGCATGGAGCGCAGAGCTAAGAAGTCTAACCATGAGGATCGGTGGACTATGTTAGAAGATGACACCCTCTCCCTAATGGCCAAGGATGATGCTGATCAAGAGGTAACTTCACAAACCTCCTGCTCATCTTCTTATGAAAGCATACCAACTTCTGAAAATCTTTTTAACAAGTTCAAAAAGATGATGAAAGATTTTGAGGAAATAAATCTCAAACACTCATCCTTAACAGAGGAGAACAAGCTATTGAGTGAAGAGAATCTCAAGTTGACTGAAGGTCGGAAAAGTCAACTAAATGAGATCACTCAACTCAAGGCTGAGAATGAATCTCTTACTGAAAAGGTGAAATCCCTCAACAAGGAGCTAGGGATACTTAAGTCCAAAGAAGCAGTGAATAAGCTTCTTGAAACGACCAAACATAAGGGTCGTGAAGGACTTGGGTTTGACCCCTCCAGCTCCAAAAGGAAAGGGAGAACAACTTTTATCCCTCCTAAACCTACTGCCAAACCCAATAAGCAAAAAGGTAAGGAAAAGGAGAAACCCACAGAAGTTCCCAAAAAGGTAGTCCCTCCTAAGAACTATAGGAAGCTGGACACACCTCAAAGAGGAAACAATTTCAGAAGAAAACCTTCTAACCCCTACTATACATGAGGCTATACTCATTATGGGGTAGATAGGAGTTTTCCGAGAAATTCTGAGTGGAGAACTATGCCAAGATATAGTCATCCTCCACCCCAGAAACTATTTGTTCCACCTAAGTATGCTTACAACCGTCACAGACCACACTATGCACAACCTAGACAAAACTATAGGTTTTATCAACCTAGGTTTGCTAGGAGGAAATAAGAAATAGCACCACCTGCTCGCAGGAAGTTTTATGTCTACAACTATGACTATAATCCCAACAAGTTTAGGGCTGCAAGGAAAATTCCCTGCAACTTTAAACTTGATGTAGGGACACACACCATTAACTCTTCCGGACCCAAACTTATTTGGGTACCAAAATCTTCCTCATCCTAATGCAGGAAGCCGCTAAGTACCCAGGTGTCTGGTACTTAGACAGTGGCTGTTCAAGACACATGACGGGTGATGCGAGCCTTTTGAGAAATCTAATCCCCTATGATGGTCCAAGAGTTACTTTTGGAGGAAGCAATGATTATGGCCTTACAAAAGGGCTAGGAAATCTGATGTACAAGGGACTAACCATCCAGGCTGTATCTTATGTGGAAGGTCTCAACTACAACCTTCTAAGCATAAGTCAGTTCTGTGATAAAGGTTATTCTCTGGAATTCTGCAAGGACATGGCATCCCTCAAGAACATCTCCACAAATGAAGTCATTCTCACTGGGAAGAGAATCAGAAACATCTACGAAGTGATGTGGGACGATGTCAAGGACGCATGCCTAATCAGCAAAGCCGACACTAACCTTCTATGGCTTTGGCATAAGAGGTTGAGTCATCTCAACTTCAAAACCCTCAACAAGCTGTCCAAAGAAGGGTTAGTAGAAGGTCTTCCCAAAGCTGTGTACAAGAAGGAAAGCATTTGTGATTCTTGTAAGAAAGGAAAACAAGTCAAGTCCACTTTCAAGGCGAAACTGGCACACTCAACTACAAGGATACTAAGTCTTATTCACATGGACTTATTTGGACCCGTTACTCCAATAAGTCTAAGTGGAAAGAAATATGTATTAGTAGTGGTTGATGACTACTCAAGATACACGTGGAAAATCTTCCTCAACAGCAAGAAGGGAACTCAAGGAAAGCTCACAAACTGCATGAAGCTGATTCAAAACCAAGCAAGTCAGACCATCCAAAAGATCAGATCTGACAAAGGCACAGAATTCCTGAATGAAATCATCATTCATTACTGTGAAGAAAATGGAATTCTTCATCAGACACCCGCATCAAGGACACCTCAACAGAATGGTGTAGCTGAAAGAAGAAACAGAACCTTGAAGGAAGCAGTAAGAACTATGCTAGCCGAAGCTTTCTTGCCAAAGAGGTTCTGGGCTGAAGCTGTAAACACAGCTTGCTATACTCAAAATAGGAGTATGATCTATAAAAGGCACAACAAAACTCCCTATGAATTGTGGAATGGGAGAAAGCCTAATATATCATATTTTCATATTTTTGGAAGCAAGTGCTTTGTGTTGAACAATGGGAAGAATCATCTAAACACCTTTGATGAGAAATCAGATGAGGCCATCTTCCTAGGATATTCCATGATGAGCATGGCGTTCAGAGTCTTCAACAAAAGAACCATGATCACTGAAGAGTCAATATATGTTATTTTTGAGGAAAAACATGTGGTTGACAAGCCAGCAAAGCATGATCATGAGGTTCTAGATCTCTTAGACAAAGATGAAGAAGTCAATGAAGGAGATAGAATGAAGCCTACGGAGTTTATTCCATTCGGAAGTCTACCACTGAAGACTTCACAAAGAAATCCGGACAGTGCTGAGCCTACCGGAAATCATGGCCAGCCTTCCAATATTCCAGATAACTCAAATGGCGACAATTTCCAGAAATGGCGACCAAGTGCCAATCCATCTGGAATCACCAACAAATTCTGTTCTTTAACCAGAAGCTGAACTAGATCAACCAGTCAACCCTAATCAACACAATCTTCGCTGGTTAAGGGATCATCCTCCTCAACAAGTTATTGGAGATATTCAATCAGGCGTTCGCACAAGGAGTGCTCAACAGAATTTAGAAGCCATGCTTGCATGTTTCATTTCGCAAGTGGAACCAAAGAGCATTGAAGAAGCTCTAGCTGATTCTGATTGGATCAATGCAATGCAAGAGGAACTCAACCAATTCACCAGAAATGATGTCTGGAAACTTGTTCCCAGATCTACTCATCAACATGTCATTGGGACAAAGTGGGTCTTCCGGAACAAGATGGATGAAAACGGTGTTGTTGTCAGAAACAAAGCTCGGTTAGTTGCCAAAGGTTATTGTCAAGAAGAAGGTATAGATTTTGATGAAACCTTCGCTCCAGTTGCTAGACTTGAAGCAATAAGGCTATTTTTAGCCTTTGCTGCTCATAAGGACTTCAAAGTCTATCAAATGGATGTCAAAAGAGCATTTCTCAACGGAAACCTATAGGAAGAAGTTTACGTGGAACAACCTCCAGGATTTGAGTTACACATTAAAGGCAATCAAGTGTATAGACTCAAAAAGGCGCTATATGGACTCAAACAAGCCCCTAGAGCTTGGTATGATACATTGTCTCAATTCCTTATAGACAATGGATTCATCAAAGGAGTCATTGACAAGACCTTGTTCAAACTTTAAGATGGAGAAGATCTCTTATTGGTCCAAATCTATGTGGATGACATCATATTTGGCTCAACTAAGGAAGCTCTTTGCACCAAGTTCTTCACCCTCATGCAAGGAAAATTTGAGATGAGCATGATTGGGGAACTCAACTACTTTCTTGGTCTTCAAATCAAACAGAGAAGTGAAGGAACTCTCATCAACCAAGCCAAGTACACAAGGGATCGGATCTTATCAAGAAATTCAAAGTTGATCAGAAGTCATCCGTTTCTGTCCCCATGAGTACATCCATTAAGCTGGATATGGATGTAGATGGAAAGGATGTTGACCAAACTCTCTACAGAGGAATAGTTGGATCTCTACTCTACCTTACTGCAAGCCGTCCGGATATCTCATATGCAGTAGGTGTTTGTGCCAGATTCCAGTCAAAGCCAAAGGAAAGTCACTTATTTGCAGCCAAAAGGATTCTTAGAGATACCTCAAAGGAACTCAGAATATGGGTTTATGGTATGCTAAGAGCAACTTGTTTGAGTTAGTGGGATACTCAGATTCTCACTTTGCCGGATGCAAAGTTGACCGGAAGAGTACATCTGGTACTTGTCAATTTATTGGCGGAAATCTTGTTTCTTAGTTCAGTAAGAAACAAAACTCCATTTCTACCTCTACAGCAGAAGCAGAGTACATTGCTGCTGGTAGTTGTTGTGCTCAAATCTTGTGGTTAAAGCAACAACTACTGGATTATGGAGTCAAAACAAAAGAAGTTACAATCTTTTGTGACAATCAAAGTGCTATAGCCATCTCACAAAATCCAGTGCATCATTCTCGCACTAAGCACATTGATGTCAAGCATCACTTCATCCGAGATCATGTGGAAAAGAAAGATATCAAAATTGAGTATATCTCAACTGAAGAACAACTGGCGGATATCTTCACAAAACCACTAAGTGAAGCCAAGTTTTCCGATTTGCTTCACAAAATTGGTCTATTTCAATTAGACTGAGTGCGGTACACGTGGCAGTCCACTTACCACGTCTGTTAAGCATTGGACAGGCACGTGGCTTTGGGAACAGTTAAAAACCCAATCGCCACCAGCCGCATATATCGCCCAAAATTAAACCCAATCGCCACTATTCAGATCTCAACTGCCCGCTCATATCTTCGTCGTCTTCCTCACAAGAATTCTCAAGAACCCTAATTTCTTCAGAATCTCTCACTCAAAATTCATAGAAAATGAAGATTGTTGGCGCAAATGTCCACTTCCAGAAGTTGGAGGCCAAGTGTTCTTCACCGACGTTCTATCAATCCTATCTGGAGATGATTGCTGCTCAGGAACTCACCGAATTCCTTCACATGGAAATTCGCTCCAAGTATGAGGACGAAGTTCTTGAATTTTAGAAGAACGGAAAGATCAAAGCTGTTCAATCAAAGAAGAATCCGCAGAGGACGATTCAAGTTATCAAGTCCACTGTTGGAAGGGCCAAAATAAAGATTTCACAGAAGAAATTGGAGAAGAAGCTTCATCTTCCCAACTCCGGAAGTGAAATTGGGAGACTCTCGCCCAAGAATCTGGACTGGAAGACTATTGGGATTTCTGGACAAATCCCTTCTGGCCCAGCAAAGAAAGCTGATTTGAAGAATGATTACAAATTGATTCTGGAGCTGGTCATCGCATGCCTTGAATGTGGCAGTGGAGGGCATGCTGATGACATTACCCAAGAAAGGGCATTCATCATCAACGCCCTCATTACCAGAACCAAGGTAAATTGGGCTAAACACTTTTTCAATTCTGTCTCTAAGCACTTAGGGAAGCCCAAACAGAAATATTTGTGTCAAGGACTATACCTTGGGTACACTTTGGAATCCATGGGTGTTGCTTCCGAAGGCAAGAAGTATGATGCAAGATATTGGCTCTACTATTTGTCTTCCAAAGGAGAAAACAAAGCAAGTTCAACTGCAGAGGATGAAAGCTCTTCAGACAATGTCCTTATTATGAGTCTGAAGAAATCATCAAAAAGGAAGCATGTGGTGTCTCCCTCCCCCAGTGCTGAAGCACCACAGAATCTTGCTTTGGTCAATCTGGATGATGAAGAAGAAGAAGTCCCTGCTCATGGTGAACTTCAGAAGATGAAGAAAGGAAGAATCTCCTCTTCCTCCACATCTGGAAGTGCAAATCTGGATGACTTGGTGGGAAAGGAACTAGTTGAGGAAACCTCTGCACACAACCAGAGCCCTCAACAACTGGAGGAAGAAACACCTCAAGTTCAGAGTTTTCCATCTCCTCCACCACAATCTCAAACTGATGATGCATAGAGCCAATTCATGCAGCTCTACTATGACTGGAGAGCTTGGAAGGTTGGAAACTCAACAGAGCAGTTGTTGGGATGGGATCAACAACTGAAAAATGAAAAGATGATCAAAAGATGCTTGGGTCTGCCAGTCAACCATTGTTGTGAGCAAATTCTGGACGTTGACTGGGTGTGGCAAAGAACATATGAAGATTTGCATCAGGAACACTTGGCCACCTCACCAATCTCAGAGTTTGAAGTTGATGATGAGGAAACTGCAGTCTACAGGCCAATCTTTTCAAAGGCAACAGAAGATCAGATGGTTCTCACCACTGAAGCACAAGCTAACATGGAAGCCATAGCGGAGGACTTCCAAGTCTTTCCAGAAAACTTCCATGCCTTTGAAACTGTTCTGCCTGAAGCTGTCCAGGAGAATGCAGCTTCTCCCCAACAAGAACAGAACAAGGAAGCATCAGAGGAAGAACTTCTTCAACTCCTCCAAACTCAAGTTCAAGAGATCCTCACAACTTCTTATAAGATCTCCAAACCAACTGAACTTGAGATTCCAGAGAAGTCAACAGAGATTCTGAAGAAGTCCACCCCTCCAGAAACAACTGCAAATGAAACTCAAGAAGACCCAGCTATAGAAGTCCAAAGAAGTTTTGCAGAAACTGAAGAAGAAGCTGAAATAGCCACACTAGAAGCCACTGAAAATCCAGTAGCTATTTTTGAGCAACAGAATGAAGATGAAGACAGAGATTCCCTCTCCAGGGATATCTCAAACTTTGTGAATAATGTAACAGAGGAAGAGTCTGAAAAGACACTGAAGATTGATGAAGAAGAAGCAGAGCAAGGAGATGCTGAATCCCTCCCTCTGCAACTCTTCCACAAAGTACCTTCTTCACATCAGGTAACAAACTTCCACTTTCACAGCTCTTCCACATCCACTCTTCCGGATGAGGTTCCGGAAACCTGGACAAGAAAGGTCCAAGGGTTGATTGAATCAGCCTTAGACTCTCAGCATGCCTCGTTTAGGCAAGAGATAGAACAGATGGAAGAAAGGCACACCAAGTTGATGGAGAAGTCTGAAGAGAAATATTGCTCAAATCTCAATGAGATAAGCAAATCTGTAGACAAGACTCTAGAGATCATTTCTCTATTGAGTAAGTCTGTGAGCAACACAATGGAGGCTTATGCATCTGACTGCCATCTTCAATTCAAAGAAGTCACTAGAATCAAAGAGCAGATTGCTACTGTCACAGTCAATCTCCAGAAGCAAATGTCCTCTCTCCAGATGGATATCAGATCAGCGTTGGCAGTATCTTCAGCAAATCAGGTGGTAACCAAAGACTACCTAAAGGTTATCGCTGAAAATCAAAAAGAAGCATTCAAGCTCTTCAGACACTTTGGCACCTACACTGGGAAACATAAGCTGGACGTAACTGTTCAACACAGAAGTCCATCCCAAATTCCACAGTTACCAATTGTAGTCAAGCAAGGAGAACTCACTTACATTCCATCGAACTTGGACATGACGGATTTGATACTTGAAGCCCAGCAGAGGAATCCGGAGAACTCAATACAGCATCTTTCAGACACTGGTCTTGATGGAACAGAAGCTGTATGAACCATCGCCTCCCACTTCACAAATGATGCCCAGACAAAGGAGAGATATGACAACCTCAAGAGCATCAAAGAGGAATGTGGAATTATGCAAGGCATAAGTGAGGCTTCCGGATCATCTAAGCGCAAGAAGCAGTGAAGGCTCTTTTCATCAAACCAGGGGGAAGTATTGAAAACATTATTTTTGTTTTGATGAAAACACCTTCTTGTTTAAACATTAGTTTTTGGTTTAAACATTGCTTAATACATCTCTTAATTATGCTTGAACATATTTCTCTTAAGTATAATTTTTGAGATTTATTATTAAGCGCATACATTCAGGGGGAATGTAATTCAGGGGGAACTTAACTGTTTTTGGCTTTTGGAAATAAACTACTGATAAACTCTAAGCTATGGAAGATGGATACCTCAGTTCTGGTACTAGAGTTGGAGATCTCCGATTCAGGTACTCTACAAAATCTGCCTTCTTAAAATTGAGTTTCAATCCTTAGTTCATTTCCAACTTCGCTCTAAAGAACTGGTCCTTAGGATGTTTAATGTACAGGAATTTGGAAAAATAGTACCACTTTTCTTTTAAAAATGAATTTCATATTTTTGTTGGTACTACCTCGTCCTAATTAGAAATTAGAACTATAGGGAATGAAAAATGATAGTTTTATTTTGGGCCTTGAGAACCCAATAGGAATAATTTTCCTTTAGTACATAGATTTTTTTTGGCCATTCTTTTGGGCTTTGCCAAACCAAAACAGTTACTTTTCAAACCAAACGAAACAGGTTTCAATTGGAACAGTTTCAACACCTTGGTAACTGGTAAAAGATTCCTTCAACTTTTCAGAATTCAACTTCTTGGAAGTTGAAACTTTTTTACTCTCACCGTTCCAACCACCCACTAAATGGAACCCGTGAACCTCCCAATCTTATCTCCTCCTCCTATTTAAACCAAGCCATTCCAATCCATTCCTATCACAAACAACTCTTTCAACATGAAAAGTCTTCAAACTCACTGTCTGAGAAAAACACCAAGAAAATTATCCTCAATGGAGAAATTTTTCTTTCTCACCTTCATAGACGGCAATGGAGAAAGCCTGGTGAGAAGAAAAGATATTCAAGATATTTGGTGGGAATCTCAGCAGTAGAGAAGATATTTGGTGGGAATCTCGCATATTTTTTGCATCTCGCCACATATCTTCTCCGGAACAACACTCTCTCCATTTTCGTTTCTTCTAATTTTTTTTAAAATATTCTTTTTCCTTTTCTATTTTTTGGTCTTCAAAATTTCACTTTTAAAATTTTCTTATTCTTGTTTTTCTCTTCTTGAAACACTCTACCCTTCTCTCTTTATTTTCTTTTATTTTAAAATTTATTTTAAATCTCCATTTTTGTTGTCTCTGCACCCTTTTCCACCTCTTTTCAAAATTTTCTTTCCCCTTCTGTTTTTCAAAACTTTTTCTTCCCTAGTCACCATATTTTTTTTCTCTTTTTAAAATTTTGTTTTTCCTTCATCTTTAAAAATTTTTTTTCTTTCCTTTCACCACCTCTCCTCTTTCCTTTCAAAACTTGATTTCATTTCCCGCCGCTTCTCCTCCTTATTTTCCAAACAAGATTTAATTTCTTTTCTTTCTTCGTTTTTGGAGAGTAGTTGTTGCTTCCTAGGTCTCAATGTCCACTTTGGATATTGAGATCCATCAAACACAATGCCATCTGAACTTCCAAGCAACATCTGCTGGAAATGAAAGCAGCAAATGGCAGAAATATCACAAATCTCAAGAAAAGACTTGGTTTAGAATTATTGTAATTTGAATTGTATTTTGTTTAAGAGTTTTTGTTTACAAGCTGTATATTATGAGAAACTAAAAGAAAGTTACAAAATTAGTTCTCAGTACAGCGGCCGGAACTCTTAAACACTTGTTTGTCATCATCAAAAAGGGGGAAATTGTTGGGAAAAATACTATAGATTTTGATGATGATGTATTTAGATTGTAATAGGGACTTTAGGTCACCCCCAATATTCAATGTAATTTTTCTTTTTAGAAATATTGTTAAAACCGAGTTCTTGAGATTTTCAATAAAGTTGTGATATTTCACTCTGTGGTTTGATGTCAATCTTTGAAGACTTAATCAAATTCAGTGATATGGAAATTGGAATTCTTGATCGGAAATGTCAGAGACAAATAACGAATTCTCAAAGCAGTTGATTACTTTCAAGATCCTCTATTCCGGAACACTACATGATAACCGGATGTCTCACTACAACCCGCTGAAGGCTAAGTCATCCGGATCGGAAGACTAGCGCGAATCTCTCTCTCACCTGGAAGTCTAAGAATGACTTTTCCGGATTTTTCAGCAAAGACCCAGATGCCTCAAGAAAGATCGGAATTCTCAGAAGCAGACAAGTGAGAAAAGGACTTAGAAAAATTCTAAGTCTTGAATGAAGAAATTCTACCCGTTGGTAAGGAAAAATCAATCTCTTGATTTTCAACGGATAGATTGAGGATAATTAAGCTGATTTAAGAACAAATGACTTGAAGACAAGGTCTGGACCTCTCAAATTAAAGAGCTCGCCTAGAATTCCTAAACAAGCACTAGAAGACAAACTGAGTACTCCACTCAATAAAGAGCTACAGTCCAGAATTCTTGAACAACAGGTAGAAGACAGATTCTGTGGAAAAAGGAATCCTTCTTCAAACAATTGGATATGTCCAAACACCCATTCCAATGAAGAATCCTCAGTCTCACTCTTCGTTCAAAATTGAAGCCAGCAAATGCAACGGATAGTCTATTTTGATTCAATGGATAGATTACCCAATCCAGTTATAAATAGCATCCTTGGAAGACTGGAAGAAGTAGAACACAACGAAGCAATCTCAAACCACAAAGCTACCTCATTCACAGTTAGCCAAAAAGCTTGAAAAAGAGAGATTTCTAAACTCCTTATCCAGAAGCAAACTTCTCCTCCTTCCAAAGAGCTATAGTGTAAACACTTGAAGGTTTCCTTGCCTCAAGTACCACACCACGTTGAAGGATACAACTTTTAATCAAACTCTTTGATTAAAACGGGGTGCATCAACTTTCTTACAAGTTGATCTTGCAAGTCCTATTGTTCGGATCTTGCCGTTGTTGAAGAGGCTTGACCTTCGAAGGAACAACAAAGCCAGCACGAGTGCAGTAGAAACTTTGGCCTTGCGAAGATATACCGTGCAGAAATTCACACAAGTGTAATTGTTGGTTCATTATTCAACAACCAACTACATAGTGGATTTTGAGGACGTAGAAGGATTACCCCACCTTCGAACCTCATTAAAGTTTGCGTGTCTCTCTCTTTTATCTTTACTCATACTTGCAATTATATTAACTGTGAAAACTAACTCATCCATATTGATTACTGCTCAATTACCCACCAACTTCCGCACACAATCTAAGGTTCACAAGAACTCTAGATTAACCACTCATTTTCACGTTTTCAAAAGAAACGAAAAAGTTTTTAAATTGTTAAAAAGTCTATTCACCCCCCCCCCCTCTAG